TGCTGGAACTTAAACGAAACGTTTGAATACATAGTCTAATGTTTTAGTCAGGAAGATCCCTATATAGATGTATTATGTAGTCCAGTTGTCTAAGGTCAAGGTCACTGATACTGAAAGTAAACCCAATTAGGGTACTGAAGAAGTTTCTTGAAGATAACACTGAAATATCTTTTGGAATTGGAACCAATTTAAAAATAAGGTTAGCAACTATTGGTCACCGTTTGGTCTTCAACAATGATACAGAGCAAAACCCATAGTTAAGCAATTGCTATTAAAAAATGCTGTAAATTCAGAAATTACTGCATGCATTTATTATTGCGATTTTGTCATTTTAGACCAAAAATTAATGCGATTTAAATTTTTGCGATATTGAGAAAAATCCTTTTTAATTCATATAATAAATTTCAAAATGGGAGTTCAAATTATTGCGATTATATTTAATCCTGTCGCATTTTTCGGCATAATAAAAACATCACAATAATTTCTGACTTTAGAGTAAAAAGTTCCCATAAAGACAAATGTGAAAAAACCCCAAATGATGATGGGATAAAAGACTTGAAAGGATCAGAAATAATTGGTGTAGAAAATGGGTATTTGGCGATTGATTGATTTGTGAATAACTCTATTTTTCAACACGACTGTGCTATTTCGTGGTAGTCAGTTTTTATTGGTGTGGAGGAAGCAGGAATGCCTGGAGAAAATCAGACATTCGGTAGAAAACTGACAAATCTAGTTAATTTAGATTGGAGTCAATTGCATGGTTTTTGGTGAAGACTTGTTATATTTGATAGCAACTAAAATTAGATTTAAGGTCACATTTAATGAGAAGAATTAGCAAAAATTGATTTTCAGATCAATATTTCCAAGATCCAATTCACAGTAGCTGAGAGCAATGAAAAAAAATATATATGGTCTCATTAAAAGAGAGAAAAGTTTTAATTTTTAGGTCGCATCTCAAAGGTCAGAAATACAAGAAACAAATAAATTATGTTCCGAAATGGGGGGGATTCTGTATGATATCTAAAAAATTGTACTTCAAGATTTGAACTATACTTTGATATATGGTCACAATAAGTGAAAGGGAAGGTTTTTGTCTCGACTTGACGGAATCAAAAAGCGAGACCTAGGTATGCTGTTTCCGGCGTCAACAGCGTGGGCGTCAACAATGTATTAGTTTGTGATTAGGTCTAGTTTATGGTGAACCGCTAGTGGTAGGTCAACAATATTTGGTAACCAGTTGTATTAGCATTGGTACATCTCATTACCTTGCAGATTATTTGGCCCTGCCCCTCAGTCATGGTCTATTGACTTCTAAACTTTGCTTAGTTTACATGTATTAGTTTGTGATTAGGTCAGTTTATGAGGAAACACTAGTGGTAGGTCAATGATATTTGGTATGCAGTTGTATAAGCATTGGCATTTCTCATTTTCATGGAGATGTTTTGGCCCCACCCCCTCAGTCATGGTTTATTGACTTTGAAACTTTTGCTTAGTTTTCATGTATTAGTTTGTGATTAGGTTAGTTTAAGGGGACCGTTAGTGGTAGGCCAATGTAAATTGGTATGCAGTTGTATAAGCATTAGCACATCTTATTTCCATGGAGAATAATTGGCCCTGTCACCTCAGTCATGGTCTATTGACTTTGAAACTTTTACTTAGTTTATATATGTATTAGTTTGTGATTAAGTCTGTCTAAGATGAACCACTAATGTTAAGTCAATGATATTTTGTATGCAACTGTATTGGCATTTGCAAGTTTCATTTCCATGGAGATTATATAACCCCACCCCCTCATTATGGTTCATTGACTTTGAAACTTTAACATAGTTTCATTTAATGTTTGTGTTAAGGTTTGTTTAAAGGGAACAACTTATGAAAAGATAATGGTATTTGGTATGCAGTTGTATTAGCATTGGCACATATCATTTCCATGGAGATTGTTTAGCCCTGTACCTTCAGTCATGGTTCATTGACTTTGAATATTTGCACAACTTACATGTTAAAGTATTGCTATTCTAATTTCAACATTTGCATTAATTTTATCAAAATAACAAATAGGCGAGACATATATCTGTGATAACAGTTTATTGAATTAAGGTTGAAGTCATAAGTAACTAAAAACAGTCTGATATTTGTACTAAAATGTTTTTTAAAGACAATAACTTATATTGGACTTGAACAATGTAAAATCATTAACTTATCTTAATGTTGAGTACAAAAAAGTTTTGTGTAGGAAAAGCCCCTTCTAAGAAAGAAAATTTGGGCATAGGGGTATTTGAACATATGCTCACTTAGATTCCTTATCTTCATTAAAATTATCAGATAATTTTTGTCATACTCAATCAATATTTTACTATTATGAAGAAACAAAAAGGATTCCCATGCCTGCCAACATTTCAAAAATCCCAGGGGAGTTTTCTGTGCAAGATGGCTCTCATGATTAGTCCTACAAATTGAAAAACCTTTAAAGGGGCCTTCAAATTTAATTTAATGTTGTTTATTTACCTTTTCATACTTCTACAATCCTATATCCATAAAAAATTGATTCTTTTGAATTGTGGACAAAATTGCTCTTTAAAAATTTTTCAATTGGGAGCCTCCATGGGGGAAATCCCCTGCAAATAGTGACAGTTGGCAGGTATGGATTCCACTAGTACTGTTATAAGAGTATCCATTGGATACCTATTTTAAATGAAAATGCTTCACAAAATTTACATTATAACAACTCCTGTGCAAAAAATAAATTTTTAAAATATGATTTATCATATATAATAAAATTTTGTCAAGTACTCATCAGATTTGTAATTTGGTTAGTTTATGATGTAATTTGGACTTCAATATTGAGCAAAGATGATCATTTACAGAAAATATGAACTGAACATCTATATTGAAAGTAGCAGTTAAATGATGAGCAAAGAGTATAAAGCTAAAAGGAACTGAAGATTTGACCGTCCAGTTCAATATTTATAATGGGCTCTGTGACCCTCATTAGGATGCAGGAGCCCCATATAGTTTCCACTTTATTCGCCTATATATCCAACTGTCTGTTAACATTTTTTTGTAAAATTTTGTAACTCCAAAAGTTTAGGTAGGGACTGTCTGTTAACATTTTTTTGTAAAATTTTGTAACTCCAAAAGTTTAGGTAGGGAGGCTATTGAAATTTTGCACAGTTGTTCCTAATATACAGATATGCAAATTATATTTTGGTGAAATTCGGCTCATAATCATTTTTGATAAATTGACACTTCTTTCAGTTCTAGGATTACAATGAAAATTTGCATATTGATTGGTATAATATACTATTCCAAATGATCCCATGTGTAAAATTTGCATCAAAAACTTGTTTTGCATGAAAGTAGTATGGAATATTCTTATATGTCTGGCATCTTTTTCAAATTGGGTGCCAAAGCATGCAATTTCAAGGTTGCATTGTTTTGTTTGCATCATTATAAATTATTTGCTTCTGTGCTTTTGAGCCTCTATCAAATATACCAGTGCGGGCCTGTGCTGACAATTGTCAGTTTTCTAGTTGCTATTAATTGAGAACAAAAATTATAAAATTTTTTTCTTTCCAGATATGCTAGCTATTTGTGTGTTAAATTTGTTATAAGCTTTTAATGTAAGTAACATTAGTTAGTTACTCATTTCCTGAATATTTGTAAGTTCTTTTTGAAAAATGATTGACCTTTAACATTATGAGTTGTTTTTTAAGAAGACATTTTACAAATGCACTAGCCTCAGTTTTAGACTTATATGGCAGCCAAAAGTACTATCATAATCATTCTTCATAGATGAATTGCTATTGAATTTCATCTATTTCAGATTTGGTTTGCTGCAATGAGTCAAGTTACCAGACATTTATAGCAAAATTTTTGAAAAAAAATGAACAAGCAGTTAATCTACCTAGTCTACTTAAATACTTGCTCATCAGTTTTAGATTTCAGTTTTATTAGCCTGTTTAACAATGGATTGAATTTTTTGTCAACAAACAGTCAATAACACAGCTGATAGTTGATCCAAGCTTTTACAGTCAAACACTGAAATCCTTGCCTATAATTATTATAAAGCACATATAACAAAAGCAAAAAGTGAAATGTGCTATAAAATCCATCATAAAAGATTGAAATTAAAAATGGAACTAAATATTACTTAAGGGTTCCCAACCAACAAGCAGCAATCACTCTTAGATTTTAGAGATACCACTGATAAACTGTTTAATGTATGAACATATCCTTATCTTAATGTGTGAATGCTGTATGAAAGAAACTGATTTAATGTAAACCATTTTTTACGTACATGACGTATATGTGAGGAACTCAAATTATGCTTTTTAAATATAAATATATTTTATGGTGATCTGCATGTAAAACTTAACTTTTAACTGTACAAAATCTTATCCTGATGAACTGATGAAAGAGAGGAATCTTGCTAGATTCGAACATGAGCTTATAATTTTTTAGACACTGTGCTTACTCTATAAACATTTTAACCTACCTGTAGTATAACCCAAGGAAACGGATGTATATATGTTGCACCTGCTTTGCACGATTATAAGTGTTGTATATATATATTGGATGACACTTTTTGTATATATATTGGATGACACTTTGTCTTGTGCATGGGGGATGGAGTGTTCAACCATTTTACATTTTAAAACTATCCAATGTATGTTGTATTTAAAATCCCTTAAATACAAGTAAAACAAATTGTTTCTACTTGGTGTTCCTAATTGGAAGGACATACGAAGAAGAAGTAGAAGTTTGAAATTGATGATTTAAAAATTTTTATTTTAGATGCATGAATGGTAAAGTTTCAATCAAAATATATAGTTACACTCAGCTGTTTAACATTATCTTCTCGTTCTTTTTTGTTTCCATTCGGGCTGGATGTCAAATCATATATTTTGCCTGTAGCAGAGCAGAAATACAGGCCGTTGCTGTATGCAACTTTGTATATTAATGACATGGTAATTATTCGTATTGTTAAACCGGAAGTTGTTATCTCCCTTTCATCGTAGAATTGCAGACGAAGCTTTTCCAAAATAACTTATAAATAATCATCATGACAGAGACTGGAGAATTACAAAATGCATACAGTACATATCTCGTTCAAAAAACAGACTACAGTATCCACTTCATCATATGGGAACCAGTTTCCGCCAAACATGATGTTACTTTGTCCCTTGCCGTTTGTGTCTGCTCTCGAGCTCCCATTTTATTTTTAAACAGCAATTAATTGGCAATTTTTCTCTGATACATCAATCCTCAATCTGAAGGCCTGTCGGAACAAGTCTCAAATTCGGTTACTAACCCATCATAACTCAAAGAGCTATATTTGCAAGCTTTACCTTCTAAGGCTTCTTGCTGCCGTTAGTTTTTCAAGGTTTCGTGTGCCAGAAAATACGACAGCTCGACGTCTATGACATTACATGTCCAATAATGACGTTATTCGATATATAAAGTCACGCCATAATGACTGTTACATTTGGGACCCATTGAAGAAAAATATTACATTGTTTAATCTTCGGTCTTTTAATAATTTGAGTTTTAATTAAAGAGATACAGCAATGATGAGAAGCTTGCATAAATTAAACCATGGACATATGTGTCCCTCCAGCACAGCAGATGTTGACACATGTGGTGTCCCTCCGGTAGCAAGAGGGTTAAAAACAGACTACCTTACCCTAACACTAGTCTAATAGATATAAGAAGATGTGGTATGAGTGCCAATGAGACAACTCTCCATCCAAGTCAAAATTTATAAAAGTAAACCATTATTGGTCAAAGTAAGGTCTTCAACACGGAGCCTTGGCTCACACCGAACAGCAAGCTATAAAGGGCCCCAAAATTACTAGTGTAAAACCATTCAAACGGGAAAACCAACGGTCTAATCTATATAAAAAACGAGAAACACTTATGAACCACATCAACAAACGACAACTGCTGAACATCAGATTCCTGACTTAAGACAGGTGCAAACAATTGCAGCGGGTTTAAAGGTTTTAATGGTACCAAACCTTCACCGTTTTCTGAAACGATAGTGTAACATAACAACATAGACACTGTGTATCATCGCCACCGGAAATTGGGTACTAACGAAGCGGAGAGAAATGGAAAAAAAGTAAACAAGGATAGAATTCATTCAATTTAAAGCAGTTCTACTGATTTGACGAGGGTACCGCTTAAGAAATGATTATCTGATATATAATTCTTTAAATTATTAGGCCGATAAGTACAAAATTAAGACAATATTTTGTGTTATACTCCAAAGCTTGCCACTTAGTACCTGAAAATTTCGAGGTCGATTGTCCTCTGTCGCCCCATTGGCAAGATATTCAACTGTTTTTCATTATTTTTCCAGACACTTTTTTAGATTATGATAGTGTGACATCATATTGACTGAAATCTGTTTTCATAAAGATGTTTTTAAAGAATATGGACCAAAACATTGTTTGTTTATTGTACGGCGAATTGCAGGACGTTGTACGGCGAATTGCAAAATAACAACTTTTGTCTGTACGGCGTGTTGCAATATATTGTAATTTAAAGATGAAATTAATCACTGTTTAGATAATATCAAGTGACGAAATTTTGGCTGTAGCAAAGCTTTACCGGCTTACAAATATACAAAATTAACTACTTAACAAATATTATAAAATATATGCCGTTAATTTCGTTCAGAAGTCGTCGTTGCGTACCTCTATTTGACTTTGTGTTTTTAAAGACAAAAAGGTTTTTTTTCAACCATATTATCCTAAATACATTCATATATCGTTATAATTCTAACGACTGTTGTCTTATTTGTTGTCAGGGTGAAATTTTGTAAGTTCAAAAAAACCGACCATTCATTTTTTGTTGGTGCTGTTTTTTTTTAAAATATAAACTGTGGAGATGTTGTATGATTGCAAATAAGACAACTATCTACCAGGGTCAAATAAAGTGTATGTAAGCAATTATATGCTATCGTTTGGCCTTCAACAACGAAAAATCGTACCTTACAGTCGGCTATTAAAAGCCCCGACATGAAAATTGTGGAAGGATTCAACAAGAAAACTAACGGCCTAACTCATAACAAAACAATTTACGAAAAATAACAAATATGATAGAGATGAACCAACGACAACCACCAAACTACAGGTTCGTGGCTTCGGACTGACACATTAAGAATGTGCTGGGTTAAATAGATATAGGAAGATGTGGTATGAGTTCCAATGAGACAACTCTCCATCCAAGTCACAATTTATAAAAGTAAACCATTATAGGTCAAGGTACGGTCTTCAACATTGTTTATTGTTTATTTTTTAAATTTCTGAAATGAATAATTTGTTAAAAGAAGAGTGAAGAAAATACTTTGTTTTCATTGAAAATTAGGATATATAAATCATGAATAGTGTTTCGAATTAATTTTCTTGTTTCTTATTGAAAATAAGATTGTATTTTTTTTTTTTTAGTTTAAGTAAATTCAGTCAAATCTTTTTATTTACAGGGAAAAAATAATAAAAGACTGTTGCTAAGGCTGTTTGGCCTAAACTTAAATGAGTAGATGGAGGGGTAGTGAAAAGGAGTGTATTCGTCCGAATTTTCATTGTTACAGTAGAACATTTTCATGATTACTATGTATAATATTTCTCAGTAAATTTTAATGTGATATTGTGCCAATTAAAATTATATAATTAATACAAGTAAGACTTGCATTTGCCTTAAAAGATATAGCAGTACGTGATTATTTGTTTTCAAACACACATTCTCTGTTTTGAAACTTATAAAGGTATGGATCTCGGCCTATCTGTTTGGTTGAATATAAATATGAATTCATAGAGTGTCAAAATCAACAGTAAGCCCTATTTTTTTGTGTGTGTAAATAATCTAATCTTTAGATAGATGCTTAAATTAAAATTATTTTTCTTAATAAGAAGAAAAAAGTGTAACTTAAGCACGCCTGAATGTAAAAAGGCGTACCCGACTTATTCGTTCACAATAAGAATTTACCGATTTCGGTATTTTAACAAAACTGTTTACGAGGGCAAATAAATAAATGAACGCTATCAAATCAACATTTAAATTTACGTGGATTTTTCCAAAAGAATTTATGAGTATGCACCATCAGGATTCAAAAATATTTCAACCTGTCCTTATTAGATGTTATTTCATTATAAATCTTTAAACTTACAAGTCGAAGATGCTAGCTTTTGTGAATTGTATTAATAAGTTTATAATATTAAGATGACAACAACAAAAAACTTCATACAAGGTCATCTTTATTCTCAAGTAGAAAGTTTATATAAATAGTTTATGCCGTAGCCACAGCCGGATTTGTATCCCTTGTATCGGATAATTCTTCTTTCATTCTTTCCGAAAATGATTTATCTAAGGTTAATACTTTTTTTTAAATTTAAACAGTATTAGCCACCGAGCTTGTTCATTGCTTACTGTATAGAGATGAAGGTTTTTTTTTAGAAAATTAATGTTCTTTATTCTAATATAGTGGCTGTATCTGCCTTTTACAAATAAGACAATTTCATTAATTGAAAAAGGAGACGTGGAATGGTTTTCACTGAGAGGAATTTCAAACATAGTCCAAATGAAATAGATTTGACCAACTATTGGTTACTATACACTTTACAATGAACAAAACCCATACCGTATCAAAATTGCCTGATTTATGACAAAATCATAAACAAATATGTCAGGCAGCAACTTACGACAGCCGCTATATGACATGTTCCTGACCAGGGAAAGACACATATATATATATTGAGGCGGGCTTAAACATGTTTGTGAGCACTCAAACCTCCCTTAACATGGTGCCGTGGTGTAGCAATACAACATTTTTTTGCAGAGAATGATAATTCATTTATATTTCATTTTATCTGAAAGTTGAAAGAGAATTCATTCACTTAATGGTTCTAAATATTCAATGCGGAAAACTTCTCCTGCCATTACCTCCTTCCTTCCCTCCACCCACAACCCATCCCCGAAATGTTCATCACTTATATGCAAATGCTGACTAATGTTGTATGGTTAAAACATTTGATTGAGGCAATCTAAAGTTTGAGAACAGAAACGACAGCTTTAGCTTTTTTTCATTTTTAAAAGGGCATAACTCAAGAACGGTAACAGTGACGCTACCCAATTTATAACTTGATCTGTGTTTTGTGGTGATAAGCATTTCGTGTAAGTTTTAAAACATTTGGTTAAGGCATACTAAAGTTAGAGAACGGAAACCAATTATTGGGACTTTCTGGACGGACGGGAGAGACGGGTCGGACGGACATGGGTAAGATTTAACGCTACGTCATGACAGAACAACAGGTCAGTAAAACAGAGACATGCCTTTCCCAAAGTTACAACATTTGCCAGCTTTTGTATATGCCGTATTCATATTGTATACATCGGGTATTTAATAGATGTAATAGGACTGTGTTCAAGCCTTATATTGTGTATACATCTTAAATGGTGTCAAGCGAATTGTATTTTTATCAAATGCATAATTAGATATTTGCACTTAATACCGTGGTTTTATTTTCTTTAAAAAGACGGCAAATAAATATTTTGAAATTAGCAAGTTGCCATACAGTTGAAAACAAGTTGCCATACAGTAAATTTGTCAACATGAGCAAGTTGCTGTACCCTAGACTTTATTTTTTATGGTCTATATTTTTTAAAAACATTCATTTTGACAACAAATTTCAGTAAATATGATGCCACACTATAATAATCTAAAAAAGTGTCTGGAAAAATAATGAAAAACAGTTGAATATCTTGCCAATGGGGCGACAGAGGACAATCGACCTCGAAATTTTCAGGTACTAAGTGGCAAGTTCTTGAGTATAACACAAAATCTTGTCTTAATTTTGTACTTATCGGCCTAATAATTTAAAGAATTATATATCAGAAAATCATTTCTTAAGCGGTACCCTCGTCAAATCAGTAGAAATGCTTTAAATTGAATGAATTCTTACCTTGTTTACTTTTTTTTCCATTTCTCTCCGCTTCGTTAGTACCCAATTTCCGGTGGCGATGATACACAGTGATAGAAAGACACACTATAAAATATCAATTGAAATGGCTTAACTCAATCAAAAGACATATTAACACTAGTGAACATACACTGAACAAATAAATTTGATCTATGATACAATTTATTTATGTAAAAACAAAATAAATAAACTAAGGGAAGAATAATTAAAGTAACATGTTATATCGGTGTGAAATGTTAAACAATTTAAGAAAAACAATATGCTTGAATAAAAATATCAGCCATTTGCAATTACTTTAAACACTGGTAAATGAAAATAATTTTGTTGTTAGGTATACGTGTACAGTTCAAATGGAGAAAGGAAATATTTTTACAAAATAAATAATTTTGATGTTCATAGTAGGAAGAAGTGAAAATTTATAGTAATACCAAACACTTATCAAAGCTGGTATATAGACCAGATATAACATACCTATGGGACTATGTACATAAAAGAAGGTCAATCGTTATCATGATTATGATTGGAAAAATATTTTAAACCAAAAAAGTATTTTTGCAATTTAACCAGAAAGAATGTGCAAAACAGGATGATCAGAAAAAAACACCCAATCTACCTTAATAAGAGATCCAAGGCCAAAAGATAGTTCAGATGTTCTATTCGGGCATTTAAGAGCTATAGTTGTCCGAAAAAGATTGGTACAGTATAAGTGTCAATTCAGTAGATGTGAGTCAACTAGAAAGACCAGTTTCCACTACAGTAAATAAGGCTATCAAAAAATCATATAAAGTTGTCAACAGCAGTGGTGGATCCAGAAATTTTCATGGAGGGTACCAGTAACTGCATAAGAGGGGGCCTGCTTCAGTCATGTTTCAGTGATTCCCTATATAATCAACCAAATTTTCCCTACAAAAACAGAGTTTTAAATTCATTTCTCTCTGATTTGGATATTCTATTCTATTCTATTCTACCATATAGTGACCGCCATCAACAAATTGAAGATTATGTCACAGGAGGAAACTTACAACAAGACATAGATTGATATATATATACAATCTTTAAAAAATACAAAAAAATTAAAAAATGCTTTGTATAATAAAGTATGATGTAATAGTTGAGTTAATATTGATGCTTCAAAATTGAAGATTTGAAAGAGTCTACTGAAGTGCAATTTACAATGTTGTCCGGTAGTTTGTTCCAGTCGGTAATAGTTCTTGGAAAATAGGATTCTTTTCTGTACTGTGTTTTGCAGGATGGAATTTGGAAGCTGTTAGAATTTGAATGTCTTGTTTGTCTTTTTTGTGGGATTAATTTATTATTTTTAGGTATTGCAACCTTTTCGTGTTCAATTTTGTAAAGCATTACCAATCTTGAGTCTTTTCTTCTGTCAGAGAGGCTGCGCAATTCAAGATGTTGTAACATGTTACCAACTCTTGAGGTGTTTCTGTATTTGTTGGTAACAAGACGCGCAGCCCTCCTTTGAACTTTTTCAATGCTATCTATGTCTTGTTGTAAGTATGGATCCCAAACAGAGCAAGCATACTCTAGTGATGGTCTTACTAGGGACTTATATGCTTGCTCTTTAATTGATGTTGAGCTTATGTTCAGATTCCTCCTTAGAAAGCCTAGGGTGCTATTAGCTTTCTTGCATATGTTGTTTATGTGCACATCCCATTTAAGGTTGGAACTGATGGTAACCCCCAGATATTTTGCTGTTGTTACATGTTCTAATGAGTGATTGTGTAATGTGTAGTTAAATTTGATTGTTTTTTTATTTCTGGTGACTGAAATTACATTACACTTATCTGGGTGGAATGCCATTTTCCACATAGTTTCCCATGATGCCAGGGAATAGTTATTTTTTTGGTCATTTAATTGATTACTTATGAGGAAGAATTTTCTGATTTCAGGGATAAGCCAGTGGAAATTTGGATATAATTTGTTTGATGCATTTTAATTTGTCATGGACACATTCCCCATTTATTTTAGTTTAGTATACCTCCTTTTAGTGAATGGATGAACTTTTATTTCACACCAAATTTAATTTTCCTACATGTCTAAACACATTATCAAAATAATGTGATGTATAATTTCCATTCCAGTTGGAGCTGACATATTTTGTGAGTTTCTGGAGGTGGCAATACACTGTATACTTTATACCAGAGAACTTTACCCTGCTGGAGTGTTTGAAAAGAAAAAGAAATTCAATGTTCCTGTCAAAGTAAGCAAAGTACATGTAGTACCATACTGTGATTGTAAGTAACTACAATACAACACACAGTCGTGTATATGAAGAGTTATAGCCAATTTATAATGAGAATTTGGTATCAAATTTCATGTAATATGAAATAAGAAGATGTGGTATGATTACCAACGAGACTACAATCCATTGGAGACCAAATGATTTAGATGTTAAGACCTATAGGTCACTGTCCTGCCTTCAAAACTGAGCAATTTTTTAACCCATAATCATATGGTAAAGCTATTTTAAGACCGTTTGAAATGACAAAATGTAAAACAATTTATACAAAACAGTAAACAAAAAACATATATGATAGACAACAACTTAAAACAATCACTGAATTACAGGCTCCTGATTTCATAAAGGCACATACAGAATATGGCAAAATTAAACATTTTAGAAATCACTCAACCCTCCCCTTATGTAAGACAGTTGGGTAACATCACAACACAAGAACAAGAAAAAGGATGGACTCATCAGATCAACACAAAGTCCCAAATTACAATGAACAAAAAGACTAAATACACAAAGTAACCAATATTAGAGTACAGTCAGTTGTTGAAAAGCTTAACTAATAAATAAATCATGCTTCATTCTGACAGTACACATCAAATGGATTAAGTGTTACAAGATGTCAAAAACAGTTTTGATAAAAAATGACCTTGTGTAGGATGTAGGATGTAAGTGTTCATAGCTGTATTATTTAGGAATAAATATTTAATTATTGTCACCCGCGCAAATCTTGGAGGGGGGTAGAAATACCAGGTGTCAGTCTGCCCATTCAGTCTTGTTAGCGCTCTCATGTACAGATTTTTATAAAACTTATAACATAAGACAATTATGAAAATCATTGCTGATCAATTATTTTTGAAAAAGTTATGCCCCTTGGAAATATTTATTATATGGAAAATTACATTGTAAGCGCTCTCATGTGTACAATTCTTGACAGATTTTTATAAAACTTATCATAGGTTTATATCAGCAATGTCTCTGACAAGTTTGAGAATCAGTGCCGAACAATTATTTATGAAAAAGTTTTGCCCCTTGGAAATATCGATTATATGGAAAAATGCATTGCAGGTGGACATAGAAATGCCAGGCGTCTGTCTGTTGTCAGTCTGTATGTCTGGTCTTGTTAGTGCTCTCACATGTACAATTCCTGACAGATTTTTATACATTTTTTTATATCATGTGTACATAGGAATATATATCATAAACGTCTTGAAAAAATTCGAAAAATCAGTGCCAATCATATATTTTTTAAAAAAGTTTTGCCCCTTGAAATCATTAAAAATATTGGAAATTGCATGGCATTTGCTTTTATTTCTCAAAGATATTTATTCATAACAAAATTTATGTATATAGAAATAAGAAGATGTGGTATGAGTGCCAATGACTACTCTCCATCAAAGTCTCATTACAGAGTCTTAGATTGTTTTGGGGTTGGTTCATACCAATTTTTCTATGATTTAGTTTGGATTCAATAATAAACTTGTAGAACTATAAGTAAATTAGGATACATCTACAAAATACACACACAACATTTAAACTTTTGTTGAATAAATGAAAGTGATTTTACTTTCAAAATAGGTGATGTTTGGGTATCATCTAATCATTTTTAGTGATACTGTGGATTCATTAATATTTGTGGGATATCAATTTTTCTAGGTATAGTGGGTTAACCTGAACTAGGAATTTTAATGTTCAAAAAGAACACATTTTCTATAGGCATATATTCAGACTTTGGCATTACCATGAAATCAAATATCCATGAATATAAAAATTTTCTTCAATTTCAAAATTGGTACCCACGAAAAATAAATGAATCCACAGTAATATATAGCTCACTGTACAACTCATGTACGCTGTATTAACAAGATATAATTAATTTGATTGCAGATCTGTGTCCATCCAGATGTTTTGTCATATGTTACCAACACTGTTGATAGCATTCGTCTGTTGCTAAAAGAAAATGCTGTTTTTAAGGTGACAGTTGTAGTTGTTACACCTGACCACAAGCCTGCTGAGAGATTTGTTTTTGAAGTGGCCAAACCAACACAAAATATAGGGTAAATATGATGTGAACAGGTAATCTGGGTTAAAAAATTAATTCAACAGTGGACTGCAGGGCTTCCAAAATTTCCTGACGACAGCCGGACATTTTTCAAAGAAATATTTTTGACGGTCAATGATCAGCTGGATACTTAAATGTAACTGAGAGGATGCATAAATTGATATATGTGTCTAAATAATTAGTAGTGTTATATGCAATAAAATTATTTATAACTGTTTTGTTTTCTTCATTCTAAAAATAAATAAAATATTATCCTCGGTATTGTGTCATTTTTCTGTGTATCGTAATACAATAACCATCATTGCATCAATCAGCTTCAGTACCTGACTGTTCTCATGTTTTTGTTTCTGTTTATATAATCTATCTTCTCTCTGTGAGTACTTAACACTTTGTAAATTAAGGCCATCTTATTTGAAACTGTTGATGTTGGCTTTAATTGCAGTACAACTTGATCATCAATACACGTGATACTTTTCTTTTTGTGTATTGATTACCTGACCACGTGACTTTTACAACTGATGCGGTATTTATAGATAACATTGAGGAGGCCCGATGAAGGATATTGTTTTAAACCGTGTAAAATCTACTGAACAGTGATAACATTTTTCTTTGTACAATTTCCCAACCTGATTTAGAAAATAAGGAATAAATAAAAACATACTCAGTTGATAAATAATTTAATGAATAACAACATGATATTTTATGTAAGCATATAACAACAATAAAATGTCAGAAGAGCACAATGCTGACAAACACACGCAATAAATATTACAATGAGCACATTGAAAAGAAGCACAGATCACAGCACAAGATTAGAGTTCATTTAGTCTAATTAAAGATTTTACATTCATGAGCTTGCTAAATGCATTGTTCTGATAAACATGGCGGTTACGAACGGATTGCCATTTGCGGATAGCAGGAACAGGGTCAAAGTTTTTAACATCTACACCTACTAAGCTTATCCTCATAAGTTGATCTAAAGCGTCAATACCTAGACTACACCTTAGTCGATCATAATTCCCACGGCGGGACTTAACTTTACGTCGGACATCACCTCTTTCTCTATAACATCGGAAATTGTCTGAATAAATTCGGAGCAGGCATTGTTCTCTTGATATAATTTAGAAGTGATCACGGCACCATTTAACTTAGTCAAATCATTTATTGACTGAAATTTGTCCATTGGTTTTTCCTATATATTTTAGTAAATTTTCCCCTTGAGAGTACCCCAGTATTTAACACGATGTACAGTGTTAAATAAAATAATATATATCATACTTATTCATTTATAAATATCCTTATTTGAAGAATAACTTTTAAATATCAGGATACTTTTAAAACTGAATGCTCATTTAAAATAATATCTATAAAGCGTAATTAAATAGGATGTTGTTCCATACACGCTTACATGTTTGACCTCGTTTACCGGATTACCTTTATGTACATTGTTATGCATCATTAATTCTATTGATAAAGATAAGCTAAGGACACCTCATCAAAGGTAACAAACCTGTAATCAGTGAATGATTTATGGCTTCAATATAACTTATTGAAGGGATAATTGTTTGACAGCTTGTTGTTATTTAAATAAAAGAAAACGTGTTTTTTCTACTTTTTATTGATGTACACAAGCTAAAGACCAAGCCGTACATTTATGTACCCAGAGGATTAGACTAACTGAGACACTTCAAAGTATCTGAAATATGCTGCTTCTGTTTTATTAAACCCAATTATGACCGAAATATCTTTGTGAAATAGATTGCCACAATTATAAACTAAAATGCCCAAACGGACATGCCCAAAGCCCCAAACGGACATTTTTATCGATCGATAGTTGGTAAAAATTGAAATGACCGTTTCATGAAAATGCCTTGAATAACAGAATGTGGCCCACCAATTCTATTTGACCGTTTGAGGCTGAGAGCAGCCAGTCTTTTTATGAAAGTTTCGGTCAAGTCCGGAATATATGACCGTTTTGGAAGCCCTGCAGTGGAGACATAGGTTGAATATGCAAATTGTCTTTTATAAAAAGCAATATGCAATAAATATATTAATTTTCATATTGAGGAACTTCACCTGAATATAAAAATAAGGAAATGTGGTATATCCCAACTTGTTCGTTATGCCTGTGTGTGTAGTGATGTCATAGATTTTAAAGAATGTAATCAATGCATCACTGGTAAATTTTTAAGTCAGGGATTTTGTTACCATAAATTACTTAAAACTTTTACTAAATTCTTTCATAGATACATAGATTTGATTAGTAAATTTGGCTGTACCTGTAGAAAACTGATTAAACACGGTATTTCACATCCTAAATTTTACGGTAATATTGTACTTAAAGCGCGGAAATCACTATGTGATCCGTGTAAACTCATCGAACCTTTAAACAGGCTCATTAGTAAAGGTTATCTTACCAATGTTGTAATTAGATCTTTGAATATAGTTTACATTGGCACTAATATCGATTTTGTCATCAGCAAATTAAAACATAACTAAATTTGTATTCTTTTCAAACGGGATGTATAAAGACACACCCACGTTCATTTTGATCTATAAAGAGGTTAACTCCTAACTATCCTACTGCCTGTCGATACATTTATTTTTGGCATTGCACAAGTCATGTCTTCTTTGACTGTCCATGACGTTAAAATACTAAATCCCTGGGATGTGTTTTAGTTGATTTTAGTCTCTGTTGCATGATTTTTTTATTATTAATTGTTTTTGGCTTTTAACTAACTGTCAGTAACTTTGAGTACTCTCAAATCGTACTTTCTTGTCTGTTTGACCTGTTGATACTACTTGTAATGCTTTTTTGTTATTTAATGTTATTCAGGGTTATATCTGGTCTATATACCAGCTTTGATAAGTGTTTGGTATTATTATAAATTTTCACTTCTTCGTACTATGAACATCAAAATTATTTATTTTGTAAAAATATTTCCTTTCTCTATTTGTACTGTACACGTATACCCAACAACAAAATTATTTTCATTTACCTGTGTTTAAAGTAATTACAAATGGCTGATATTTTTGTTCAAGCATATTGTTTTTCTTAAATTGTTTAACATTTCACAGCGGTATAACATGTTACTTTAATTATTCTTCCCTTAGTTTATTTATTTTGTATTTACATTGTATCATACCGGTAGATCAAATTTATTTGTTCAATGTATGTTCACTAGTGTTAATATGTCTTTTGATTGAGTTAAGCCATTTTAATTGATATTTTATAGTGTGTCTTTCTATGTTGTGATGTTACACTATTGTTTCAGATAAGGGTGAAGGTTTGGTACCATTAAAAAGTTTAAACCCACTGCAATTGTTTGCACCTGTCCTAAGTTAGGAATCTGATGTTCAGTAGTTGTCGTTTGTTGATGTGGTTCATAAGTGTTTCTCATTTCTCGTTTTTATACGACTGCAAAAAAATTTTGCGGTCATATATTGGTATGACGTCTGTGTCGTCGTTGTCGTTGTCCTCATTGTCCGGCTTTGTCGTCGTCGTCCGAAGACACATTAGTTTTCACACTCTTACTTTAGTTTAAGTGAATTGATCTCTATGAAATTTTACCATAAGGTTCAATACCACAAAAGGAAGGTTGGGATTGATTTTGGGGGTTATGGTACCAACACTTAAGGAATTAGGGGCCAAAAAGGGGCCAAAAATAAGCATTTTTGTAACTTCCAGACATAACTTGTGTGTAAGTGTATGGATATCTCTGATATTGTACCATAAGGTTCCATATCACAAAGGGAAGGCAGGGATTGATTTTGGGGGTAATTGCCTCAAAATTTTAGGAATTAGGGGGCCAAAAAGGGGCAAAAAACAAGCATTTTTCTAATTTTATGACAATAACTTGTGTGTTAGTGTATGGATCTTTATGAAATTGTACTACAACGTTCCATATCACAAAGGGAAAGCTGGAATTGAGTTTGGGGGTAATTGCACAAAACGTTTAGGAATAAGGGGCCGAAAAGGGTCCAAAAATAAGCATTTTTCTAGTTTCCAGACAATAACTTGTGTTCAATTGTATGGATCTCTCTGAAATTGTACTGCAAGGTACCGTACCACAAAGGGAAGGCTGGGATTGATTTTTGTGGGTAATTGCCTCAAAATTTTAGGAATTAGGGGCCAAAAAGGGGCAAAAAACAAGCATTTTTATACAACCGTTTTAGTTTCAGGACAATAACTTGTGTGTAAGTGTATGGATCCCTCTGAAATTGTACTACAAGGTTCCATATCACAAAGGGAAAGCTGAGTTTGAGTTTGGGGATAATTGCCCTAAACGTTTAGGAATTTGGGGCCAAAAAGGGGCCTAAAAACAAATATTTTTCTAGTTTCCAGATAATAACTTGTGTTCACGTGTATGGATCTCTCTGGAATTGTACTGCAAGGTACCATACCAAAAAAGGAAGGCTGGGATTGAGTTGGGGGTGATGAATCATAAGGGGGTTCAAAAAATTTGGGGGAGGGAAATTTTTTTCCTTTTTTTCCTTTTTTTTCCTTTAAAATTTTCCATTTTAAATTGGTTATTTCTGATTTATATATAATAGCAAATAATAATGATATGGTTTGAATAGGTAAATTAAAAATTTTTAAGTTCTTAGACCACATTCATTCTGTGTCAGAAACCTATGCTGTGTCAAATATTTAATCACAATCCAAATTCAGTGCTGTATCAAGCTTGAATGTTGTGTCCATACTTGCCCCAACTGTTCAGGGTTCGACCTCTGCTGTCGTATCAAGCTGCGCCCAGCAGAGCATTTTATTTATATAGATTAGACTGTTGGTTTTCCCGTTTGAATGGTTTTACACTAATAATTTTTGGGGCCCTCTAAAGCTTGCTGTTCGGTGTGAGCCAAGGCTCCGTGTTGAAGACCGTACTTTGACCTATAATGGTTTACTTTTATAAATTAAGACTTGGATGGAGAGTTGTCTCATTGGCACTCATACCACATCTTCTTATATCTATGATTGCCAATGAGACCACTATA